CAGTCTTTCTTCTCTGCATCTTCTGTGGTAGGTTCTCAGGTGCAGCCTTTGTTTACCTTGGCTGAGGAGAGGCTTTTAGTTTGCAATTCCCCTGTTTTATGCTTGATAATTCAGGAGCTTGTTACCTGCACAACTGTACATCAACAACAGTAAAATGGGCTTAACAACTGAGACAAGTACATAATAAACATCGGGTAAAAAAATAAACTAATACAAGAAGAGGTACAACAGTGGTGGACAGGAAGCTCTTCATCCTGAGTCCTGGTCATGATGGAGCAGAGACTCTTGCCACAAGGCAGCCACTTAAACAGTTTTTGGGTGTGGAGCTGCACCTGATGTAGATGTCCTGGAGGCAGGGCTCTGCTGCCCTGGTGACACGTCCAGATTGCACTGAAGGGCCTGATTGTCCTGAGAGCAGCAGCGGTTTCTGCAGATTCAGCATTTCTCCGTTTCAAATTAAAAGCCTTCCACTGTTTCAGGAAGTATGACCCCTTGACTTGTCCAGAGGGCACATCACAGTGTGAGTATTAGCTGCCGAGCGTTGACGATATGATGATTTGACCCTAACAAGCCTTCCAGTGCCATCATGGTTACCTAGTCCCTGTGTCTTCAGGTGTTACTGAGCTTTTATTTGAGAAGATTCATGGCTGCATCAGAGCCTAACTATTTAACATGGCTTCATTCTGTGTGGTGTTTTCCAGCAGGTCCACTGGCCTGTCGTTAGGCCCCCCTCACTCTCAGCAGCAGAAAATTTACAGTGTCATTAAACACTTGCTGCGTCTGTGGAAAGTGAAGCTCTGCTGTGGTCACAGGGTTTTCTGTCAGCGTGGGAAGGAAGTCGATGCTTCGGAAAACCCTGCTGCACTGAGAGGGGGCTGAGGGTGGGTGGTGTCCGGGGGGATACCAGTACGGTGTCCCATGGGAGGTCAGCGGGGGGGGGCGCAGGTCTGTAACTTACTGAGTGTTTTTGTTATGGAGGCTGATGAAACTGTTTTTCAGCTGGAGGCCCAGAGCGACATGGCTCACTTTTACTGGCCATTGATGTTACCTACACACAAGGAATCTGTCTCTGGTACAGAACTGAGGCAGCCATCACACACACACACACTCACACACAGATGTCCCTGCAGGGCGCTGCTAGGGCCATCAGGAGCAACATGTGGTTCAGTGTCTTCCTCAAAGACACTTTGACATGTGGACTGGGGAGAACAGGAATCAAACTGCCAACCTTTTTGTTAGGGGTGGGGCAATCACTCTACCTCCTGAGCCACGGCCACTCCAATGAGACCTAGATTTAGATTAGCTTGTTCACACCAGTCACCTGCTGTGATCAGAGCTGTGAAGTGGGAGGAGCTTGTTTGTCCAGTCTGGGTTTCCGTCTGAAATCCTTTCTGCTCCTGGACGATGAAACCAGCCTACAGGTTTCTGTTCACACCTCCAGTTTCAGCTTAGTTTTTCATGTTTAGTGGAGAAGAAGCCAGTCAGACTTGCTTCTCAGATGCTTCACTGGTGGATATGTGAACAAATCTGACCCAGAATCTAAAAGGAAATTGTTTTTTTTTCTGTCTGTTTTCTGAACATTGTAATCTTCAGCTCCCTACTGCCAGCAAAGTGTACAGCTGAGTCTCAGCTCTGTGACTGGACATTTGACCTGGGAGTCACAGTCGACTTCTGTCAGGCTTCTTGTAGCTTTGACTTTTTATTTGAATACCCAGTGTGTTCTCCAACACAGTTGTTCACCTTTTCATGATTAAACCAGACGAATTAAACCGGACTTTCACGTCTAAAGATGATCTGGAAATGTCTCCTCCGCCTTCACATCTGTCATTGTCGGTGGACACAGAGGAACAGGCAGCAGCTGCCAGGCCCTGGTGGCTGTTCCAACCAGGGAAACAGCTGCTGGTGAAGCTGCGTTTATGTCCCATCTGAGTCACTGGACTTACCAGCGTCTAATCTGCTGGGAGCTGTCTGAGCTCTGCTGCTCTGTCTGAGCTGCAGGGACGCAGCTCAGTAGTGCCTGAAACACAAGCACACAGTGCAGAAAGCTTCAGGGTAATTAAAGACAATTTGATTTACCAGGAACGGGGCACAGTTTTAACCTTCACACAACCAACTGTGCAGTCAAAGTTCCCATCTCTACCATCCATCCTACATGATGCCAAAGAGAGAGAAATAAACTTGCAAAAACTGCTGTTTGTGGAACACAACTCACCTCATGAGCTCATCACGTTCTTCAGATGTCTGTAGCTGTGTCGTTTCTGCTCCTCATGTCGAGAGACTTGCCGCTTGCCGGCCTGAATCTGGAGGAATGAGCAGAGTCTCTGTGCTTCATTTCATTAACAGGCTTCCAGGTGGCGCTTGTCAGCTGGGAACTATCATGTGACCATGACCAGGTGGTTTTGTATTTAAACACAGCTAATGGACCACATCATTCACTAACAAACACAAACTTTTATATGTATTTATATTTATTTTGTACAAATCCTAATCCAGGAGCTTCACATTTGATCTTTTGTTTAAAATGTAGGTTTTGAATTTGATAATGGAACGACTTCAGTCCACACCTGTAAATCCACTACTTAAATACAGCTGCAGTATGTAACACACCTGGACATCTGAAAACTCCTGTCAGTAATAATGTGCATCAGGTTGATCCTTCTCCAGACAGGCTTCACTCTGGTCCCTGCAAATCAGGACACTTAGCCAGCTGTTACCAGTGGAAGCCTTCACCCTGTGGAGCCGCCAAGCAAATCCCACTTCCATCTAACTGTCCCAGGAAATCGGTGGCTGCTATTTGAATAAACAAACTGAGATTAAACAGCCGTTTGTGTGAGGAGGAAGCTGGAGCTGAGGAACAGAGCTGGTCATTATTTAACGTGCATTCATTCAGGAACGTTCAGTGACCTCACGTTTGTCTTTCATACAGTACAGTACACTGTCACAGCAGGTAGCCCAGGACAACTCGGGGCAGCTGTGGCCCAGGAGGTAGGCACTCTCCTCGAACATTCAAAACTATATTTAAAAGACAGCAGAGAACAATCAGAATCTCCTCTGTGACCCCTGGCTCCTCCGAAAAGCCTCTCAAGACTTTTCAGGGAGCCCAACTTCTTAAGGGACATTCTAAAGCCTTCCCAACCCTCCTCAGTCACCCTGGGACCTTTACAGGGATGGTTAACGCACACACACACACACAGGACACTGTGGCCTCTGTCTCTGGCTAGAGGACATATGAAACTGCTCAGGTACATCCTGGAAATCTCCTCAAGGATCCTGGACATCTGTTGTCCCGTCCCGTCCCCCCAGCACGATGCCACCTGCTGAGTCAGACCAGCTTCTGAACCTGTTTTATCAGCTCCACACACACAGTCCCAGACTCAGCGGCAAAGCTTCACTCCCTGCTGTAGAGCAGTAGAGGAAGTACTCGGAGCCTTTACCTGAGTAAAAGAAGTACCAGAGTGTAAGAATACTCTGATAAAAGTAAAAGTCCTGCATTCAAAACTTCACTTAAGTAAGACCACGAAAGTACCACGTCCAGCCTTCAGCTGCAGCTCAGCAAAACGTGTCAAAACAGAACGGAGACAGTTGCTCAGTGGGGATGTGACAACACCAGGCGCTCAGCTTGTCGGGGAGACCTCCAGCTGTGTGTGTGTCTCTGTGTGTGTTTACCCCAGTAATCTGTGAGCAGCAGCTGGGAGCCAGCTCATGGCAATGGGTTTCACTCCTCGATGGAGGTTTTACAGCATTTCTCCAGCACCTTCCACCAACAAAGACGAGACTGAAGCCTGTTCAGGTTTTTGTTGCACTCTGTCTTTTTGAGTCCGTTACACAAGTGAAAATGACAGAGGAGATTCCTGCTCTCTCCAGCAGTGCACTACATGTGGGGACCTGAGGGTTTATTGTCACCTGGAAGCCTACTGGATAGACATAACTGTCTCTTGGTAGACACCCATGAGTCTGTCACTGTCTTTATGTGAACATCTAGGAGTCTACTGTTCATCTCTGCAGGGGCCCCTGAGTCTAATCAACACCTGTAAGTCCAGCAAACACCTTGGGGCTCATCATGCCTTAGGTGCACAGCTGGGACATGATTGTGTCTGTGTGGGGACCTGGGAGTCATTTTCACTCCCAGTTTATGTCCTCTACATGGTCAAGTTACAGTGTGTTCAGGGACACCTGGGAGTCTACAGGACAAATGTTGAGCACCAATTCTTCCCTGAACTCACCTGTTCCAAATCTCTGGTAATGCTCAGAAACCATCATGTCCTTCCTCACTGTACTGAATTTCCAAAAACCAACAGTGGCGTTACTCATATGAGTTATCTTAATATATCGTACCACACACACACCTCTAGAGTGGATCACATAGTTTCTACTCCCTTACTCTTGGAGGGGAAAAAAACAAAAACAAAAATGCATGGAACTAAACCCGATCACTGAAACAGGAAACCCCCCTCGGTCGTGGCTCAGTGCTGAGCGTCCTGGTGGAGCTGCATGACTGAGCAGAGAGTCACCGTGACTCATCAGTTATTGTAGCAGAAACGATGAAATGGGCCAGGGCCTGAGAGAAGGCAGCACAAAAGTGAAATATCTTGACAGGACAAACTGCATCGTATCATATCGGGTACATTTTATTGGCAAGGTCAAACATTCACAAGCAAGACCCCAACAACTAAAGACTAAACTAACATCTGTTAAATGTTCAGGTGATGCCCCATCTCCTTCTGGATGACATTTAAAATTTTCCCAGCCACCAAACACACTTCACAGATCAGAAGAGGCCACATCACATCTCTACACAGGCTGAAGCAGCAGGTCTCCTCTGACCTTTGACCTCAGGCTTCTAGCACAGACTAGCTTTGCAATGAGACTGTGCGGTGCATACGTCATCAGAGAAGGAAATGATTTATGATACAGACCGAGACCAAAAACCAGCTTTCACTCAGTTATTTAAAGAAACAGATCACACACACACAACACTAACAGAATCTCTGCTCTATAGAGCTTTTATTTTGACAATTTTCAGTCACAAGTCCTCTTATGGTCATTAACAAATAAACATTTGAAAAATGAAACTGAACAGTGAGAGAACACAGCCATGTTTCAGACACAAGTTATTAAATAAACATTAAATTATTGATAGTTAAAGCTGTGACGCTGCTGGGTGCAGTTTATGACTTCATCCTGATCACACAGTTGGATCGTTAACAAAACTAAAACACAATGTGTTAAACTAAAATGTTCTGACATTGTCAAAAACAATAATACAGTCTGATAACAGACCAGCTTCATGGTTCTTCAGTGAAGTGGCATCTTCCATCTTCCAACTGACAGAGGACGCCCCACCCCACCCCCCCAGTGTAGTCGCTGTGTCCAGGTTACATTAGTACTAAACTAAAGAACTGATAATTGTTCTAACATTAGTGGCAGCCTGGATGTTCAGCTCAGGCATGAAACAAATGCATTAATGTGAAGTCCTGAGCTGCTCCAGTCTGTGCCTCAGCTCTCGGCTCCTCCTCCTCAGCTCATCCTTCACCTTCAGCAGCCTCCGCTCATCCTCTCTGACCTCCATGATGAACTCCGTTGCCTCCTTCAGGATCACCACCTTGGCCGCTTTGTTGTTGTTGGCCAGCGCTGGGATTTCATCCCTTAGAGACAAGAAGCTCCTCTTCAGCTCGTTCCGCCGCTGCCTCTCCAGCACATTGTGAGTCCTACGTTTGTCGCTGTCCTCGCTGTCCGACCGTGGACTCCAACTCTTGCGGCTGCTGCCCATCCTCAGCACCACACAACTCAGCTCTGACTTAATACGCTTCACAGCAGGCTGCTCAGGTGTCGCCGAGGGCTGCTGGGCGGCATAGTTGTGTTGGTGGATGTTGATGTGAGAGCGTTTCAGGACCAGCGAGGAGGTGTGCGACCGCCGAGACGCCCTCTGACTGTCCACCGCCACCACGTCAATCTCCTCTTCCTCCCCCTCTTCTTCTTCTTCTGATCTTGTTTATTTTTTGTAAGTTCTGGTGCAAACTGCTTCCCCTTGTTACAGTTATACTAACAGCAGTACTATTTAACATTGCAAAGTTTTGATTCAACATGAGGCACAAATAAAATGCAGTTCTACTGTAATAACTCAAAACATCTTTAGAACATGGTCTTGTTTATTTTCCTTTAAATTCCAAATTATTTAACTATACGATGTATTTAAGGCGTTTTAAATGAGACTGAATGAATAAGTGAACCGAGTGAAAGATAAAAAAAAAAAAAAAAAACTCAGGGGAGTTTTTGACCAAACTGTTATAATATTGGTATCCAAGCACATCACTGTCAGCAGTTTGATGATGCAACAAAGTCAGTGAAGAAGAAAACAATAAGGATGTAAACAACGCAGGATGTCAGTGTTTTAACAACCTGCTCTGATGGTTTTTCATGAAGGAAACATTCGACATGTTTGCATCATCCTCGATGTCTGACAACGTACTCTGGAAACAGAATGATGCCCGGTGCCACTTTAAGTACTAGGTCAGTCCCTGCATGACCTGCTGCTGCACAATGCGACAGATCAGCAGGGCGGCTGTCTGTTGCTCTAATTGCTCAGGTTTGTTGACCTGTCGAACTTCTTTCTACTGTGTCACCGCGTTTGCGGAGCTGAAACAAAGGCTCACTCCAGCAATTTAGTGTTGCACTTCCTTAAAGTTGGGGGACTAACAACAAGTAGATGAAAAAGGAATGACAACAATCTGAAGCTACAGGTTCAACTCCACAACAGTGGATCCCATGATGAGCCCTGCTGCCTGCCAACAGACACACAAACTCCACTCCTCTGTCTCAGTAAGAAATGTTCCATCCATGAGCCCAAGCTCAGTTGATGTCACTACGAGTCATCTGGCTCATTTTCTTCAGTGATGAGTAAGATAACGGTGTGTTTAAAAAAAAAAAGTTATGTGCCTTTAAACTGTAAATGGGACAGTTTTGTGCCATGTTACAAGTGAGTCATAGAAAAATGCACAAATTGAATGCAAGACCAAAGCTGCTAGGAAACTCAAGCGCAGGACAGAAAAAGTGCACTTTCAAAATAAAAGCTCCCCACCTGAGTCACTGTCTGTGCTGCTGAGTGGCGGTGAGTCCAGACACATCTCCGACCCCACCTCCATCTCTGCTCCCTCTTCTCACTCAGCACGCTGTACGGAAACACCACGGAGGGGTCAACGCAGTCTGTCACTGCAGCGTTCAGGTCCTGTAGGTACCCTATGTTCTCCTCAGGCCTGGTTCCGCCTGTGCTGCTGCTGGTGGTGGAGGAGTCCCGGCGGGCCTGCAGCGACGCCAGCCTCTCAGACACCACTTTTTCCAGCTTGGTGGCGGCAGCGAAGCTGCTGCTCCACATGCAGTCCTGGATGATGAAGGACTGGAGGAAGGCAGCAGAGGTGTTGCAGCGCTCGTCTAGCAGCTCGGACACCGCCCCCAGGTGGTTGGCGCCAAGCAGTGGGATGTCGGACAGGGATGGCCTTCGGCTCGGGGACAGAGGGGGCGTTGGCAACAGCTCAAACTTCTTCCAGATGTCCTCGCCGGGGCCTGGGAGGATTTGGCTGCATGGAGGAGGGTAGAAGTCCTCCTCACCATCCAGGAAGAAGTAGGGCTGGACCGTGTCATAGTCATAATCATAGTTTAAAACCGGCGGCATTACGGCTGCCTGCAAGGGACAAAACAGGAGGATCGAGTTAGCAGGTTTTACCAGACATGACTGGGATGATCCCAGTTTGAGGAACACTTTCAGTTATTGTGAAACTTAGATTAATTGAAAGCTCCATACATTAAAAAAAAGGTTCAACAACAGTTTGTGAAGCTGAACATTAAGTGATATCCTTTGGCTTTTGATTTCAATGCTAAAACATTTAATAAGTAAAAACAAAACAACCATACACACAAGAGGATGTTTTAGATGTGTGCATCGTAGATATGGAAAAAGGTGCCGTTCTCCATAAACATGAATCAAAGTGGTGAGCAGAAAAGAAACATCCCAACTATGTCACAAACCACCTGTAAAACTAATGTTTCACTTCCACCCAGCAGCCCACACCTTCACTTGAAAACTTTACCAACTGTTCGGTGCAAACAGCCTTTGTACATCAGATAATCACTGAGGATTTTGAGAATACTGAACACCAAGGTATTTGCATACAAGGGAGATCCCCTTCAGCTGTCAGTCTGACTGGCAGCACCACACACAAAATAATTCAGTGTTTCCTGACTTAATCCTGCAAAGAAAACACCATAAACAAAAGTCCACATACTGTCTGATTAACAACAAATCACAGCGGGTTCTATTGGAGAGCATGTTACACCAAACGCCATTGAAGAAACCGGTATTTTAATGTTTATCCAGTCTTATCTTTGACTCAAACAGTCTTATCAGGAGGGGGCTCTTGCATGAGGTGTGTAACTAACCAAGGTGCGGGTGTTAGTAAGGTGTGGCTCTTTAAATGTCATGTGTTAAAAGGGCAGGATTTGATGGCAAATGGCGGGACGGCCACAACACAAGGCCTCATTAAAAACTCATACTTTAGATTTCTTTTGTTTTATGGTCCAAGTTAACACAATAAAATAGGTGGCAAGTACAAATTATGTTTTTATCAAATACAGATGCTCAACAATCTGGTTTATTGTAATCCACTAAAAACACCACTTTATCACTCCACATAACATAACATAACATAAATCCCAGAGTTCAGGTTATATATGTTGATAAAGGTCTCTACAGCTTTGTGCTCCATGTGAAAGCTGTAACAAAGATAGTCATCACAGTGGTCATACGAAGCTTAATTCAGTAACAGCAGGTTTAGTGTTTTTCTGTTTACTGTTAAAGATTAGCAGGATTCCAGATTAAATGGCAGGGCCCTCAACGTCTCAGTTAAAGTTAACTAGGTGAATGAATTCCTGGACAGCACCGACCCACGTCCCAAATGGCTGCAAACAACAACATTAGCGTAAATAAACTTTAATCATATTACCCATAAGGACAACGTGTTTCTGCTCAAACTAGTTTGGTTATTCCCTTCTGTGACTCAGGACTGAGGGTCAAACATTTGCTGAAGTATTGACAGGTGGTTTGTAGCTGCTCTGCTGATGCACTAACGGTCTCCGCTACTAAAACCCGCAACTCCATCTTAAAACTATGAAATCACTGTTTTTAGTAATAGTTATAAAATACAATGTGTGCCCACAGTGTGAACCCTCTGCAGGCGGATATTCGGCACATCTTAGATTAACTTGACGATATGTCCGACAGCGACAGAAATAGTCCGTTAGCTGCCATTTAAAACTCACCGTTACGACTCCCAGGATAAACTTGACGGACAGACGTGAAAATCGAGTTAATGCCAACAGTCCCAGTGAGAGAAGGCTGAGTCTTGAGACTGGGCTTTATCCAGCTGAGCCTGCAAATAAAAGTACGTCCTCTCTCTCAATCAATAACACTGCAGCGCCGCTTGCTCCGCTCCAACGTCTCAGCGTGATTCACAGCGAACAGCTGCTCTCGAGACCTTTAATGCTCCTGCGCGTTGTCTTCATCCGCAAACAAGGACACTTTTCGCGCCAATTTTGAGCTACATAGAAAATTAAATGACAACATGTAACCGACAACATGAAAACACTTTGGACAGTTTTTATGTTAGAAAAATCAACTTTGGGCAGTTCTTGTGCTAGAACGGTGCAATAAAATGCATTGAATATGGGAACTGTTTTACTCCGCGGATGTGTAGTGGAGGCGGTCCGTGCTGACAGTAAATGATGCAGCGGCACAAAGTTCCCGGAAATCAGTTCAGTGCAATGATTAAGTCATGACAACAACGACAACAACAACATGAGTGAATAAACGAATAAATAAATAAATAAATAACACATAATAAAAATAAAATGGTAATTGTTTTTTATGTATTA